ATGTGAAGAAAGAAAAAACCATCTTTGGCAATGACATATCAGACAAGGTACTAATATCTAAAATCTATAGAAAAGTTCAACACCTCAACAAGCAGAAGATGAATGATTAGATTTGAAAATGAGCAGAGACATGAAAAGACAGTTTACCAAAGAAGACATCCACATAGCCAAGAAACATCTGAGGAAAGGCTCCCAATCACTAGCCATTTAAGAAGTGCAAATGAAAACAATAATGAAATATCACCTCACTTCAGTACTGAGAGCAATGTTAAAAAAAACAGAAAGCAACAAATGCTGGAGAGGGTTCAGAGAGATAGAAACCCTCATACACTGCTAGTGGGACTAGACAAGCACTATAGAAAGTGGTATGGTGCTTCCTCAAAATGTTAGAAATATAAATATAATATATATTTAGGGTACATATAATGTACCCTAAAGAAATAAGAGTGGTAGTCAGGATAGACAGATACAAGCCCATGTTCACTGCTAGACTGTTCACAATAGAAAAAAGAGGGAGACAACCTAAATGTTCATTGGTGAAAGGATGGGGAAATAGAGTCTGACACACATACGCAGTAGAACACACTACACACCATTAACAGACTAAGGATGAATAGAGGGAACACTCATACGTGATCCTGCAGGACATCCTGCTGAGTGAAATGAGTCAATGACAAAGGACAAATATTGCATGCAACCACTATTATAAAAAAAAATCTGAACAGATTTTTACACTAAAAGAAACAGACTTTGCTAGTTACCAGGGGTAGGAGAGTAAGGGAGGGCAGGAACGTCACAGGTGGAGAGACAAATGTTAACTTAGGTGAAGGGGAAGAGGTGCAAAACAGTCATGGAATTAGAGCTAGCTATTGCATGGCTTGATGAGTTGTTGAATGGTAAAACTGATGGCCTGCTTTGTAAACCTTTACCTAATTCACAATATATTTCTAAAAAGATTTCCACTACTCAGCATATTCTTTGACAGAGCTCACAACAAACCACTCCTCTTTAGCTTTGGACTTCCAAATCTGAAATAGCACAGGCTGTGGAAGTGGAGAAAATTGGGATATGGCTTTGGGTACACACAGAATGACGTGTGCTCCTCTCCTCTGCATCTCCGGAAGTGGCGTTTTGACCTGGAAGGCCTTCAGAAGGCCCCAACTCAAGGTGACTCCATGCATAGTGGGACTGGACCGACTCCTGGTCCGTCACAATCTAGAAGCTCTGTTGAAACCTATTTAACATCACAGCAATACTCAAGCCTCCACTGACTGATGGCCACTCATGAGTTGCATAGGCCAGGCATCAAACCCTGGTCTACCACCGAACCACTAATGCTCCTGATCTGACTCTACTCATGCTGAATGTAAGGGAGTGTCAAAACATGCATGAAAAAAATCCAACCAGCCTGACCCCCACCCTGGAAATGTGTCCTGCAGAGAATGACACCAGACCTTCTGGTGGGAGAAAGGAACTGACCTACCATACCCAGATGGAAGCGGGAGCAAATGAAGGGAGAGGAAGAGACTGGAGCCATCCTGGCCCACCAAGCCTTGAGGACGATATCCCCGCTCAGAGTAGCCAATGCACAGAGAGGACCCTATGGCTGGCCCCATCCCACACTGACTTATAGCCCTACAGGGGACAACACTGGAGACACACTAGGGATTGTGGCCGATCTGACCCCACCACACCAAGGCAAAACACTAGTATCTGGGGTCTTAAAGGCTTGAAGGTAAACAAGTGGCCATCTAGCTCAGAAGCAACAAAACCCACACGGAAGAAGTACACCATCCTGTGTGATCACGAGGTGTCGAATGGATCAGGTATCAGGCATCAAAGAACAAAAAAATCATATCATTGTGAATGAGGGGGAGTGCAGAGTGGAGACCCAAAGCCCATTTGTAGGCAACTGGACGTCCCTTTACAGAAGGGTTGCGGGGAGGAGACCAGCCAGTCTGGGTACAGTGTAGCAATGATGAAACATACAACTTTCCTCTAGTTCTTAAATGCTTCTTCCTCCCCCACTATCATGATCCCAATTCTACCTTACAAATCTGGCTAGACCAGAGGATGTACAATGGTACAGACAGGAACTGGAAACACAGGGAATCCAGGACAGATGATCCCGTCAGGACCAGTGGTGAAAGTGACGATACCACTGGTCCTGAAGGGATCATCCACCCTGGATTCCCTGTGTTTCTAGTTCCAATCTGTACCAGTGTAAATCAGCTGGTCTAGCCGGATATGTAAGGTAGAATTAGGATCATGATAGTAGGGATGGGGTGGGGGAAAGGGGGAAGGGAAGCATTTAGGAACTAGAGGAAGGTTGTATGTTTCATCTTTGCTACACTGCATCCTGACTGGCTCTTCTCTCTGCAACCCTTCTGTAAGGGGATGTCCAGTTGCCTACAGATGGTCTTTGGGTCCCCACTCCACACTTCTCCTCATTCATAGTGATATGATAATGGGAAATTTTTAAGATTTTTATTATACTATTGTACAACCCAGAAAGAAGTAAACTAGTTCTGCCATCTTAATTCAGACTCGGGAACCTTGGCATCAAATCAAAGGTTGGTGGTTCAAATCCACCCAGCAGCTCCATGAGAAAAAGGGCGGATAATTTGCATTTGAATAGATTACAGCCTAAAACCCCCATGGGACAGTTCTGTCACATGGAGTCACTAGGAATCAGAACCAACTCAACCACACCCAACAACAAAAACAACAACAACACTCAAGGTTACTGGTCCCTAGGTAGACAAAGCATGCATGATCCACTGCTAACCTAAAGGTTGTCAGGTCCATCCTACCCCGTGGTGCTTCAGAAGAAAGACCTGGAAACCTGCTCCCACATGGATTACAGTGAAAAAAACACCATGGATCAGTTCTATTTCATAACACACAGGATCACCATCAGTCAGAATCAACTTAGCAATAACTAGCAACAGCAATCCAAAGGTTTACAACTTGGGGTTGACATGAATTGTCACATTATGGTTGTGCCTGCCAACGTGATACACATGTGAACTGCCCAGAAAAAGACTTGATTTAGCTTAATCCTAGTCGATGCTCTTTTATGGGTGCTTGAAACAGAAACTTCCTTTACAATTTTATCCATAATTGCTGAGGTTTTGTTGTCTCATAAGACTATGTTTCTGGCAAATGGCAATGGTTTAAACATGGGCTACATAAAATGGAGGGGCAGTTAAAAATAATTATTGAGGAAAAAATTAAGCAGGCAGAACATGGCTGTGAAAGAACCCTTAGAGATGGCAAACACACTAGATATTTAACCAGCTAAAAAGCTTCATTCTCCATTTGTTGTCTACGCTGTAAATTTTATTAGTGCTATGCCCATAAGCAAATCATTGAGCATAATAGAGGCAGCCAGAGGGCTGCAAACCACAGTTTAAATGATGCAGAAATGACAGAGGAAGCAGGCCTATTCAAAGGATTAATAGCTAGCTGGGGCAAATTGAAGGTCCAAGATATTGTCAGGGGATATGAACCCCAGCTGGATTTTGTATCCTAAATTGCCCACAATATGGCAATGATTGCTATTCCATGAGTAAATCACTGCATGGGAGAGGAGTTTTGTTTGGTTTTTCTTCTCACATAAGAGTGTATAGTTGTCCAAAAAAAGATTGTATAGTTGTCGTATAAAGAGACAGCTGAAAGTGTTCAACTCTGAGCAGGGACTCCATAACCTCAGTCTGTTTATGATCATGCTTTCCACAAACTGAGCGATTACCTGCGCCAGGCCCAGGATCTACAACCACAAAGCTAGTGTATCTTTGATGCCAACCTGTCAAAATTGATCAGGTAGTGTAGTAGCCCACTGCCCCCACACCTGGGCACTCCAGTGCATTTTAGAAAAAATGACAAATTACATCTTTCTATTGAGAAAGGTGGAAGAGACCCTAATAATGGAGAATACACTTAACATAGAAACAAATTGGCCTAACGGTCCCATTGATTTTAGATTACTTGTCTGCCTCCTAATTGGCTCAGGCCTCAGACCGAGTCAGTTTGCATCACTAAGCTAAATAATGGTGATGAGAGCATGTCAGCATTCTTTATCATCAACTGCAGTTCTGGTTCTATCTCATCACCTTCTCCTTCATCGCTTCTGCACTTGCTAATCTCATTGATCCAGAGGTCTGATTCAATCACTGAAGGAATTGAACCTTCAGCAACCGACACCAGCCATCAGGAGTCCCTTGGTGGCGCACATGGTGGGCTTGTCTGTTGTCCAAAGAGTTGGGGGTTGCGTCCACTTGGAAGAAAAGCCTGGCCAACTACTTCTCAAAGACTGCAGCCTTGAAAACGGAACTCAATGACAAAGAGTTTGGTTTGGGGGGGTTGTAGCACCTGCTGATTTCTTTGGTGTAAACATTCCCATGTTGGTCTATTTCAAGGTATCAATGTTATACTGCCAACCCCCAAGGTAGGCAGAAATACTCAGTATGACACCAGTGTAATATTTTCCCTTATAGATACAATAAATCTCAAAACCAAAACACCAAACTCACTGTCATCAGGTTGACTGGATGAATGGAAAGACAAGAAAAGGCAAGGAAAAAGGAAAAAAAAGGATGGAGGGAATTTTGCTTTTAGATGGAAAGTACTAAAAACAAGTGGATGAATGCCATCCACAGCTCTTAGGCGCTTTATACATCTAAGTCACGTATTTCTGCTTTCAGAGAAAAAATGACCCCTATGCTCTTGCATCCCTGGTGTCCTTTGAAGTCAAGAAGATGCCTTATAAAGATCAGCCAGAGAAACTCCCACAAGGCAGCATCGCAGTGAGTATCTTTACAAAGAGCAACACATGTGGGAGAAGCAGGCGGCAGTCTGCTTCCATAAAGATTTACAGCTTGGGAAACCCTCTGGGGGCAGTTCTACTGTGTCCTACAAGGTCTTGATGAGCCAGAACCAATCAATGAGTCTGGTTTTGCCATGGGTAGAAGAGGTTAATTGGGGGTAGGGAGGTAATTGCTTAAGTGGTACAGCATTTTTGTTAAGGGTGGTGAAATTATTTGAAAATGGATTGTGGTGATTCTTGAACAATACGGTGCATGTAATCAGTGGCACATAAAAATGGTTGGAATGATTCATTACACATATTTCACAATTACTTTAATTTTTAAATGATTTTAAACATTTTAAAATGTTGACAGTATGCCATTAGGAGCAGAAACAAGTACTTAAATTATTTAAAAAATCAACAGAAACATAAAAATTTCAAAAGAGCAGCATGAATAATTAATTGAAATTATACTTTTTTTAAATACTATTCAACATATGCTACATATAAGTGTTTCTACTGATGGGAGGAACGCTTCACTCTTAGACCCCTATTTCCTCTTTCAGCCTTGGGAAGTGCCCTAGAGCCTTTGATCTGGGTTCAAACTTCCCATCGACATTTCTACCCAGAGCATAACCCGACAGGATCAGTCCCTTTTTCTTTTTCCCTCAAAAGATCTGTTTTGGAAACGTCCAGATAGCAGCGATTGTTGAAATCATACAGAATTCTTTTCATTTTAATGGTACCACAAGAAGTCAAATGGGCAGGAAAGAAAAGACTTCCTTAGTGACTCTCTGCTGGAGGCCAGCGATTTGAACTTGGGGGATCATTTCTCCTTTCTATGCAAAGACACCTACTTAGGTGCTGGGGAAAGGAATGCACTGAGCCTCCTTTGAATTGGTGTGTTAAATGGTGGCTGTTAGATATTATTAGTGGTGGTGGCGGTGGTTTCCAGTAAGTCCGTTCTGACTTAAGGCAAACCCGTGTGCACAGAGGACCGCCCATAGAGGTTTCAAGCTTTCAGAAGCTGTTCACCAGGTGCCCTTGAGTAAATTCGAATTGGCTACCATACTGCTAGTAGTTGAATGTAAACTGTTTTGAGTCTTCTCTACAAGAGTGTAGGGTCCCTAATGGTTAGCTATTAATGCCACCCACCCCGCTTCAAAACAAAAAAAGCACCCACAACAAACTCACTGACATTGAGTCCATTCAGACTCATAGGGACCCGACAGGACAGGGTAGAACTACCCCATGGGTTTCTGCAATTGTAGCTGTTTATGGGAGTAGAAAGCTTCATCTTTCTTCCGTGGAGCAACTGGTGACTTTGAACTGCTGACCTATGGTGAGCATCCCAATCCTTAACCCACTATGCCACCAGGGCTCCTGACACCAAGATACCTGCTACCGTACAACCTCTGTCATCATCCTCAGAGAGAACGGAAAAATGAATGAAAACGGTTAACTAGGAAGGGGGAGCAAACCTCTGCCTTCAAAGTTCTGTGGGAAGATGATCTGAGCTAGGGCTCTGGAAAGCAATAAGCTTCGAGCATTCCTCTTTTAGCTCTTCAATAGATATGAGAGGGGGCTTCAAACCGTTCTTGGAAAGATGTAATTACAAGATCATGAACTTTTTCCATAGACTTGTTGAAGCACTCTTGCTATTTACAAGTCCTCACTTGGTCCCAGGTGCTGGGTACACAGAATGTGTTTTGCAGATGAGGAGCATCAGCATTGCCTGGGAGACTAGTACAAGCACAGACTCAATTACACTCCAGATTTACTGAGATGGAATTTTCAGGTTCCTAGGATTCCCATATGATGCATATGCACAGTAAAGTTTGAAAACCACTGTTTGTGGTTGTATATAAATTAATATGATCATAAATCTTTTTTTCCTTTGAAAATTGTACTTTTTTTCAAATCATTTTATTAGGGACTCATACAATTCTTATCACAATCCATACATACATCAATTGTGTAAAGCGCATTTGTACATTCATTGCCCTCATCATTCCCAAAACATTTCCTCTCCACTTAAGCCCCCAGCATTAGGTCCCCATTTTTCCCCTCCCTCCTTGCTCCCCCCTCCCTCATGAGCCCTTAATTTATAAATTACTATTTTGTCATATCTTGCCCTGTCCAACCTCTCCCTTCGCCCACTTTTCTGTTGTCCGGTCCCATAAATCTCTTATTAGGCTGAATCTTAAAAATTCATTATGATATAACCTCCTCTCTGGGGCACAGACAAGAAGAAAAGTGGGTGAAGGGAGACATCGGACAGTGTAAGACCCGACAAAATAATAATTTATAAATTATCAAGGGTTCATGAGGGATGGGGGAGGGGTAGCTTGGAGGGAGGGGAAAAATGAGGAGCTGATACCAAAGGCCTAAGTGGAGGGCAAATATTTTGAGAATGATGAGGGCAATAAATGTACAAATGTGCTTGACACAATGGATGGATGGATGGATTGTGATGAGCTGTATGAGCCCCCAATAAAATGATAAAAAAAAATCATTATACTTTTTAAATCTTTCATTGCGAATCTAAAAGCCTGGTGGTGCAAGGGTTAAACAACTTGGTTGCTAACTAAAAGGTCAGCAGTCAAACACAGCAGCCACTCCAAGGGTGAAAAGACTGGCCATTCGCTCCCATAAAGAACGCGCTCTTGGAAACCCATCCGGGCAGTTCTGTTCTGGCTCAGAATTGACTCAACAGCCTATGGAATTTGTCAGTCCATATTTTCAGTCATTTAAATGAAATCTTTCAGTGATCGGTGATTCTCAACCATGAGTATACAACAGAATCATTACAGGTGTAACTTAAAATAGATATTCAGGCTAAAGGTCTTCCCAAATATTGAGACTGAGTAGGCCTGAGGTGTGGCCAAGGAGGCCTGCTGGCGCAGAGGTTAAAAGCACTCGGCTGCTAATAGAAAGGAAAGAAAGGTCAGAGGTCCAAACTCACCAAATATTCTGAGAGAAAAAGATGTGACAGTCTGGTTTCATAAAGATTCCAAAATCCCACACCCACTGTATTGAGTTCATTCTGAGTCATAAGAACTATTATGGAGGGTTTCTGAGATTGTATATCTTTTACAGGCTCATCTTTCTCCTATGGAGTGGCTGGTGGATGTGAACCACCGACCCTGTGATTAGCAGTCCAAAAAGTTACTCACTGCACTCACAGGGCTCCTTTCCATAAAGATTGCAGTCTCGGACAGCCCCTCTGGTTGTCCTCCCCGGTACTGTCCTCCAGCGTCCCTATGAATTGGAATCAGAAATGACTCAAGAGCGGGGGTGGACATGGGGGTGGGGTTTCACACTGGTTTAAAATCTCTGCAAATAGTGATTCTGGTGTGAAGCCAGCTTTGAAAACCTCGAGCATGCAGGCAGCACCAAAGAAAGTCCACGGAGACCAAAGAAACTCTGTGAGACCATCGGGGAAATCACTCAACACCTTGAGGCTGTTAACATATGCCTGAAGAAGCGTGAAGAGTAATACAATGATTTTTATAAAGCCCTAGCATCGTATCTGAAGCAAAGTGATATCTCAGTAAACTTTAGCAACCTTCCCCAAATAGCGGACTTTCTCTGGCTAAATTGCAAGCCCAGATTAGAAATAGCAATTAATATGTGCACAGTCAAAATGTTTGCGTAAACCTTGGTGGTATTTTGAAGCAAGGACTACCACATCTTTCTTCATTTAGACTCTCTCTCTGTCTCTCTTCCTCCCCCCTCTCCTCCCCTCTGTCTGCTGCATTATGTGCAACCTTGGAAACAAAGGCTTGGGTTTTTAATATACAGTGCTTGTCCAAAGAGGTTCAAAGCCTTGTGGTTCTAAGAGAGATAAATCTAGGCTGTCTTTGTTTACTCTGAGCTTCTGTTCCATAGCAGAAACACATGTTATCGGCGATTCCGTCAACTGAATCGCATCTTTCTGTGCTGGCCACGGGTGACCGCCTGCTGTTCTCAACACATCTGAGAAAATCCATACAATGAGCAGATACAGGCTGCGCCACCCCACCCCACCCCACAATACAATGCATGAAAAACAAGCAAGGAAGAATTCATGTTATCTGATGTAGATGATTTACCACACCATTTAGGTAAAGGTTCTTGGGAAAACGTTTAGGAAAAGGTACTTTCAAACCTCGCGCTAATGGCTTGCTGGAGAACTTGGGAGTATAACTGTAACTCGGGGCCATTCTTGCTGCGGCTTGATTGGGCAACTGACAGTCATTTGTGACTAGTGATTTCTTCTCAAGATCTTCTCATTCTTATCTTGGGAAAAGAGCCCAGTAGAAGGTACATTTGTTACTTTCAAGAAACCGTTAGAATAAGTCATTTGGAAACTATCAGCACCCCCAATCCATACTTGGTAAATGGGTGGGGGAGTGCCTTTGTACCTTCTTCTGCAAGAAGACTAGACAATATGAACTTCCTAGACTCTTGGGTGGGATGACTCATTTGTTTGTGTTCTTGCTTCAGTGTGGTCCGAACGCAGTCCTCTCTCGGGGTGTACAAAGCAGTGCAGAGTGAAGGACAGAGCAACCCTGCTCTGTGCACACTATGTGTGTGTGTATCAAATGAATTTCTCATGCAGCGTCACACATGTCATGTTTCGAGGTGAGGGAAAGGTTACATGATGCAAAAGGGATAGGAGTGAATATTTTCATCATGAAAGCCCAGCCAAGAAAAAAGAAAATTGTTAACTGAACGCATTCTTTAGGTCAGCAATGAACTTTGGTTGGTATTTTAGACCATGCATCTAAAGCCAAAAGTGCATGATGTATCTCTAGGAGTGTCATTGTCTATTTTAACTCCAAAGGTTATGATAAACTATTTCATGAAAATTCTTACCCCCAAAATCACCCATAAACTGCGTAGCCTTTTGGGCTTTGAGACTTGTTAGCCAAACTTCAGCTCATTACAATGTAATTCAGCTATTAAACTATTGTTTAGAATTCAAACTTATGGAAGAAACTGCTTGTTTCATTT